CCCCAAAACCCCAAAACCCCAAAACCCCGAGCAACATAAATCAAGTTGAACTCGCGGAAAAATAATTAATATTTTTTCTTCTTTAAATTAGCGCCAAACTAACCTATATCAGATGGAAAGCAACTATCTTGAACAAATCCTCTCTTCAGACAATACTCTTAGATCATAAGGTGAGCAATAGATAACTGAAATGAGAAAATCTAATCCACAGCAATTATCCCAATATTTCATGGAAAATATGAAGAGCTCAAAGCTGGAAATTGCTTAATTGTCTTGTATTCTTTACAAGAAATTTTTCTTAGATCAGCAAAATGCCTAAAGCCTTAGCTTTGATGACTTGGAAATGATGAAGACTTAAATTATGGGAACACTTGATTTCAGCAATCAATAACTTACCCTATTGAAGAGAAAAGGAGATGTCATTTCAAAGATCTTCGCTTAACAGAACAAAAATGAAGACCTTCTCAAGCTTCTAGTTGAATGGGCTCAATCAGACAACACCAACTCAAGAGTCTTCGCTATGTACGTATTCGAGGTTCTCTCCGACTGTCATCTCACCCCAGAGCAATTGACTGCTTACAAGGATTCATTTATGAGCATTTTCAGCAAAAGCTTCACTGACAGAGAGGTCTCAGTCAGAGTTGCTGCACTCAAAGCAACAACCTCATTCCTCACCTCAATTGATGATTCCGATATGGTTATGGGATATATTGGAGTGATGCCTCAAATCCTCAACACTGTGGTTGAAGCTCTCAAGGAAGACGAGGGCTAGGGTAAAATAGCTTTGGACAGCATGAATGAGCTCACCAATATTCACCCAGAGATCTGGAAAAACACTACAAACCAATTAGTCAATGTCGTCTCTCAAGTTATCTCATAAAAGAGCTTTGATGAGAGTACCAGAGCTTGCGCTACAGAGGTAGTCTTAGCACTAGCTTAATAGATGCCAGCATCTCTTAGAAAGATTGATGAGACTAAGACTATGTTCATCCCAGCTTTAGTCTAGATGCTCACTGAAGTAGAGGAAGATATGTCTGTGTGGGCAGAACAGAGAGATGAAGAGGAAGTTGGTCAAACTGATCCATATAACACTGCTGTTTCAAGTATCAACAGACTTTCTCTTGAAATTGGAGAAAAGACTATGATGCCAGTATGTTCTGCTCTCATTCAACAGCTTACTAAGTCAGGAGAATGGAAGGATAGACAAGCTGGTTATATGCTAATGGGTCTTATTTCTGAATCATGCAAAGAAAGTATGATGAAGAATATGGATGAGGCAATGAAAGTTGCATGTGCCGGTGTTATGGATGAGAACATTAGAGTTAGATATGCTGGTCTATCTTGCCTTGGTCTCTTACTCACTGAATTATCACCTAAGGCTCAAAAGAAATATCATCAAGAATTGATGCCAGTTCTTATCAAACTCATGGCAACCGAGTCAATGATCAAGGTTCAAACTCATGCTGTATCAACTGTCATTAACTTCGTCAGAGGTCTAACAGAAGAAGAGGAAGATGAAGATAACAATACATAGGCAACTAAGATTATGGAAAGCTATCAAGCTACTCTCTTTGAGGGATTAGTTGTTTTACTTAAGAAAGGTATTGATGAGAACTATGAGCCACTCTAAGAAGAAGTTATGAATCTTCTCTCAGTTATGGCTAGCATTATCTAAGGGGAGTTCGCTAAATTCTATGGATAATTAATGCCAATGATGACTCAAATTTTGAGCAATGTTGCAATGACCACCATGTCATAAATGACCTTAAGAGCTAGAATTATTGAGGCAATGGGCTTCATGATTGAAGCTGTCTCAGAGCAAAAAGAGACATTCAAGGATGGTGTCCTCGAAATCACTAAGGTCTTGGTAGCACTTTTACAATCAGGCCTAACAAATGACGACCCACAAGTACTTGCAATTAAAGAAACCCTTGCTAAAAATGCTTTCTTCCTAAAAGAAGACTTCCATCAATTCATGCCATAATTAATGACTACTCTACTTGCTGATTCTAATCTTGCCATTGATATCAAGATGGAGACAGCTGATGGTGTTAAGACTGCTGATGAAAACGCCACTGCAATTACTTTTAAAATGAAGGGATTTGAGGGAAATCAAAGACTCTCAATGAACACTAGTGCACTTGAAAACAAGATCTCAGCATTCAAACTTATCAATATGATCTCAGAGAGTATGGGGACTTCATTTGCTCCTTACGTTCAACCTATTCTACCAGTTATGGTTGAGAATATGAACTATCAATACTCAAAAGCTATTAGAAAGTTCTCAATGAAGACTTTAAATAACATGCTGACTGCTGTTGGAGAGCCAGATAACATCACTCTTTTCACTAACCTTTTTCCTCAGTTCACACAAATGATCACAAAAAGTCTTGAGAGAGAAGATCTTAAGGAACTAAAGATTGTTCTTAAACACTTCTGGTTGATGATCAAGAATCTCAACGAGATCAACAAGACCTCAAAGAACTATATGAATGAGGCATAATTAAGCACTCTTGGTTAGTTGCTAAACCAAGTTCTCACCCTTGTCACATCAGCCAAGAAAGAATCAGTGAGCATTCTTAACTCCAAGAATCATGAATTCGATGAGGAAGATGTTGAGAACATGAAGGAAAATCTTGCTCAACTAACCGCTCCATCAACCTATGTCATGGAAATCAGTGGCCAACTAGTATTGAACTTTGGAGAATTGGTTGGACAAATTGTAAAGACCAACTTCTTGAACTACTTCGCTTTGAATCTCAACAACTACAAAAACCTATCAGAGAGTGAGTTACTCGATGCCACTTGCTTCTTCTGTGACTTCATTGAGTACTCATACCATAATGACGCTGCTATGATTACTGAATTGAACAACAAGTTCCTTGAAATCTTCCAGAGCACTGAGTCAATGGATGTAAAGCAAACTCTCTCATACGGATTTGGTGTCTTCGCTATGTTCATTCCAACTGCTACATATCAAACAACACTTCTTCCAACAGTATTCTAAGCCATTAACTCAATGGTCTCTGATAAGGATGCATTCACTGAGGATAATGTTGTTGCTACTGAATCAGCTCTTGGAGCAATGGGCAAGCTAGTTTATTTCCAGAAGGATAACAACACCATTACTGATACAATTGTCAATGCTTTCTTGAGTAAGTTACCATTAGTCAACGAGGAAGAAGAAGCCTAAAAGTCACACAAATTGCTATTAGAGCAAGTTGTTGCCAATAACATGAACATCATGAACGATAATACTAAGAGCAGTGTTATGATCGCTCTTCAAAAGATTAAGGAGGCAGCCCAAGCTAAAAAGGACGATATTGAGGTACTCTGTGAGGAAGGTATGGCACTAATGAGCAAACTCTTATGAGGACAATATCATTTGGTGTGTTTAATAACTTAAATTATTATGGTTTTAGTAAGATGAATATCATCTCATTTAATTGTATAATCATTCAAGCTCATAATTTCAATATAATGAGAGATTTAAATAAATAGATTTTCAAATTTCAAAAGAAAATTATGATTTGTTTTCACTCCGGGGTTTTGGGGTTTTGGGGTTTTGGGG